AATACTGTCAGATTTCAGGATGTAATAATGACATTGTATTGCTGGGTTTGGTGGCATGTGCCTATAATCCCAGAATCTGGGAGGCTGAGGCAGGAGGATAGCCATGAGTTTGAAACCAGCCTAGGATACATAATGAGTTCAAAGCCAGCCTGAACTACATACTGAGACCCTGCTTCAAAAGAAGATCAATAATAATAATAATAATAATAAGGGGGCTGGGGATTTATCTCAGTGGCACAGCACTTGCCTGGCAAGCACGAGGTCATGAGTCCGATTCCCGGTACCGGAAAAAAATAAAAAAAAAAGGTTTTTTTTTTTGTTTTTTTTTGTTTTTTTTTTAATAATGGTATTGTGATTAAGCATCTTGCTTGGATTTTTTGTTTGGTTTGTTTGTTTTTCTTTTTGAGACAGGGTCTCACTATGCAGTTCAGGCTGGCCTTGAGCTCACTTTGTAGCCCAGGCTGGCCTTAAACTCACAACGATCCTCCTGCCTCAGCCTCCCAAGTGCTGGGATTACAGGCGTGCACCACCATGCCCAGCCAGGCTTGTTTTGATTAAGCACTCTTGCTATGTTGCCCAGGCTAGCCTTAAACTCCTGGACTCAAGCAATCCTGCCTCAGCCTCCCAAGTAGTTGGGACTACAGATGAGCACCACCACACTCAGCTGATTAAACATTTTTAAAGAGTCCTTATCTTTTAGATATACTCTGTAAAACATTTAAAAATTAAACTATATTACCTGAGATTTGCTTCACAATAATATGGTAAAAGTTAAAGCAGGGTGATGGACCCATTTTTATTTTTTCTTTTTTTCTTTCTTTTTTTTTTTGACACAGGGTCTTGCTATGCAGTTCCAGCTGGCCTGAACTCACTATGTAGCCCAGGCGGGTCTCAAACTCACAGCAATCCTCCTGTCTCAGCCTCCCGAGTGCTAGGTTACAGGCGCCACCACCCCTGGCCCATTTTTATTCATTATACACTTTTATGTACCTTTGATTTGTTTGAAATTACTATAATTACTATATAACCTTTTAAAATCCTGTATATTGCAAGCTAAATATTATTGAGAGACAGTAAGAAAGTTGAAATAAATGAGAAACAAATTCACGGATTGGAAAACATTTTTAGGGTGTTATCTTCCACCTAAACTATAAATTCAGTGTCACCCCAACTAACACCCTGTATGTATCTGTGTGACACTTCACAGTATGATCCAAAAATTAGAACAGTGGTGGCGAACCTATGACACACACATGGGCACACAGAGCCCTCTTTGTTGCCACTCAAGCCAAGTGGCCCCAGCAGCTGAGCATCAGAGAACCGTTGTTTTTTTCTAAGCTAAAACCTCCGTATTCAGATTTAATTGTAGCATTGGCATTTTGCAATAAATAAGTAGCTTTTGGGGGGTGCAGTTTGGGCACTCGTCTCTAAAAGTTTCGCCATAATTGATCTAGAATAATTGCCAGAAGATCTAAATTGGAAGCCTTATACATCAGCAAATTTCAAGACACTGCAAAGGTACATCATTAAATACAGTGAAGTTTTGGGTTAAGGACAGACAAAGAGATGAATGTGAAAGAATCAAGTCTTGAAATAGACCACACAGGTACATTTATCTGATCTGGGACAGAGTTACCAATGTCCCCAGTGAGGAAAGTCTTCTCCGTAAACTGTGGGAGGAAAGGACTGGGATCGGTGCGGGGTCGAGGGACATGCAAATGCAGAGCAGATTTAAAATTTTGGTATTTTGTGCTTCAGGAATTTTTGCATTAATTTTAATTTATCAATGATAATGAATTAAACTGGGCTTGGAGGTGCACGCCTGTAATCCCAGCACTTGGGAGGCTGCAGTAAGTGAATCGTCACTGAGTTCAAGGCCGGCCTGGGCAACCTTGTGAGTTCAAAGCCAGCCTGCCTAAACTGCCCAGCAGTACCCTCTCAAAAAAGCCCTAACAATAGTGATGATGATGATGATGAATTAAATATCTTGATTGATTACAAAGTTTTCGATGCCTTTTTTTTTTTTTTTTTTTTTAAGAAACGGGTCTCTTCCAGCTTAGGCTACAAAGTGAGAACCTGTTTCAAAAAGACCAAAAAAAGGGCTGGGGATTTAGTTCAACGGCACAGCACCTGCCTGGCAATGTGAGGTCCTGAGTTCAATTTCCAGTACAAAAAAAAAAAAAAAGACCAAAGAAAACCCAAGCTCTCTGTGCAGCTCAGGCTAGCCTTGAATTCACTATGTAGCCCAGGTGGCCTCTATTTTTTTTTGTTTGTTTGTTTTTTTCCCATACCAGGAACCGAACTCATGACCCTGTGTTTGCCAGGCAGGCGCTGTGCCGCTGAGCTAAATCCCCAGCCCCTACCAGGTCGCCTCTAGCGGGCAGTGATCCTTCTGTCTAAGCCTCCATAGTGCTGGGATCACAGATGTGCACTACTATGCCCACCTAGGGTCATTTTTTGTTTGTTTGTTTTGTTTTTTGTTTTTTTCCGGTACTGGGAACCGAACTCACAACCTTGCGCTTGCCAGGCAGGCGCTGTGCTGCTAAGCCAAATCCCCAGGCCCCTAGGGTCATTTAAATTTGTATCTGAGGTGAGTGTGAGTGTCTTAATTATTTTATCCTAATTCCTGCCCTACTGAAGGAATTATATTTCTATATTTCTACAGGGGAAGAATTTTGCCCCCTACTATTCACTACACACAAAAAATAATGTGAGATGGACTCCTAGATCTAAGTGTGAAAGGAAAAGGAGTGTAAGAATTCTAGAAAAATAGAAGAGTAGATCTATAGCTTGGAGGTAGTCAAAGATTTCTAATATTAGTAGAGATCGGAAAGGAAGGACTAAGCATCAAAGCAAAACTTCATAAACTGGATTTCACTTAAATTAAGAGCTGCTCGTGTGGCATGGTGGCACATGCCTGTAATCCCAGTACTCTGCAGGCAGAGGCAGGAGTATCACCACAAATTTCAGACCAGCCTGGGCTACATAGTGAACTACATAGCAAGACTTTGTCTCAGAAAACAAAACAAAAATAAGTAAATAAAAATTAAAATAAATAAAATTAAGAACTTCTGTTAAGACATCATTAAGTTAAAAGGTAAGGCACAGAATGGGAGAATTTTTTTTTTCTGGTACTGGGAATCGAACTCACAACCTCATGCTTGCAGGCAGGTGCTGTGCTGCTGAGCAAAATCCCCAGCCCTGGGAGAATTTATTTTTATTTATTTATTTTTTGGTATTAGGAATCGAACTCAGGACCTTGTGCTTGCCAGGCAGGTGCTTATACCACTGAGCTAAATTCTCGGCTGAGAATTTATTTTTAATACCTATACCCAGCAGAGGATTCATGTTCATAATATTTATTTTCTTGAGAGAGGGTCTTGCTATGTATTCCAGGCTTGAACTCATTATGTAACAGCCTGGCCTTCAACTCTCAGTGGTCCTCCTTCCTCAGCCTCTAGAATGCTGGGATTTCAGATGTGTGCCACCACACTCAGCTACTTGTTCATATTTTTAAAGAATTCTTACAAATCAGTAAGCAAAAGACTGACAACCTAATCTTTAAAAAGACACAAAACATTTGAACAGGCAGTTTGCAAAAGAGAATTTCCAACTGAGCATGGTGGTGCACACCTGTAGTCCCAGCACTTGGGAGGCTGAGGCAGGAACACTGCTGTGAATTCAAGGCCAGCCTGGGTGGGCTATACAGTGATTTCAAGACCAGCCTGGACAAAACAGTGAGACTCTGGTTCAAAAAAAGAAGAAGACGAAGAAGAAGGAAGAGGAGGAGGAGGAAGAGGAGGAGGAGGAGGAGGAGGAGAACAACATGAACAAGAACAGGAACAAGAAGAACAAGGAGAGCAACAAGAAGAAAAAAGGGCTGGGGATAGAGCTCAGTGGCATAAACACTTGCCTGGCAAGCCTGAGGTCATGAGTTTCATTCTGGATACTAAAAAAAAAAAAAAAAAAAAGAGTTGGCCATAAAAGTTTCTGTTAAAACTTGGGCTGGGAATATAGCTCAGTGGCACAAGCGCCTGCCTGGCAAGTGCAAGGTCCTGAGTTCGATTCCCGGTACCAAAAAATAAATTTAAAAAAGGCTCTTGATTAAAAAAAAAAAGAAAAGAAAAGAAGATAGTGCAACTGGACTCTCACAACTACTCATGGGAGTGTAAATTAATGTAATCAATTTAGAACACTGACATCATCTAATAAAGTTAAACACAAGACACCATTTGGCCAGGCAATTTCTCTCCTATTGGAAATAAGGATTCCACCAACATTATGTTGCTTTCAGTGAACATTTTGAAACTTTCTTTGTCATGTAGGTTTAAATTTTTTAATTATGAAACAATAAACAATTGACTTTTTGAAATGCAATATGCAGGGCTGGGGATATAGCTCAGTGACACAAGTGCCTGCTTCACAAGCGCAAGGTCCTAGTTCGATTCCCGGTACCAACAACAACAACAAAAATATATACATATTAAGTCTAACAAAATTGCATGATAAGTCTACTGAAATGCAGTATGCAAGAATTCTAGACTTTGGGCCTGCTGTGGTGCGTGCAGGCGAGTGGCTGAGGCAGGAGGATTGCTGTGAGTTGGAGGCCTGCTGCAACTACATAGTGAGCCCCTGGCTCAGAAAAGAAAAAAAAAAAAAAATTAAAAATGAAAACCCTGAGCTCTCTCAGAAGGCCTTTTCCAGGGCCACCTAGTTCCAACTGCTCCCTCCCGGGTCTGGCGCAGGACGCGCGCCTCTCCTCTCTCACCCCTGGCCTTTGCTTGAGGCTGTGCAAGCCTCTGTCTGCGGTTCTGCCCCTTCCCCGGGCGCTCTCTCGCGCACTCTCTAGTCACTGGGCCTCTGCAGGCACAAGGGCTGCAGTACTGTGTGGGAGGACGTCCGCGAGCCCTGCCTCGCGTCTCCGCCAGCAGCACTTCCATAAACCAAAGCGCCGGCACCGCCGCGGTCTTAGCGACAGTAGCAGTGGTTTCGTCACTTACCTCTGAGTCTGTCTTGGCTGCCACACGCCTCCTGCTACGACACCTAGCAAACAGCACATAGACCCCCAAAACAAGGGCACCAAGTGACAGTAGAAGGTTGAGATGGGGTGGCAGTCGGATAAATAGCTCCCAGAATAGCGCCATCCCTCAACCCTGTGCCCTTGTCCGCCATGGAACTGTCTGGCTCAAGGCTGTGGTTCTGAGTGAGATCACAATGAGCATTCCAGCACAAACCTAACGGAGCCAGCCCGTGAGCACGCTCCGACATCACCCGCGACAGAGTCGGCTGCCCCTCTGGCGGGAGCAGCCTATTATCCCAGCTTCTTGGGAGGCTGAGGCAGGAAGATCCCAAATTGGAGCACAGCCTGGGCAATTTAATAAGGACTTTTCTCAAAATTTAAAAAAACTAAAAGAAAGAGAACTGGGGTTTATTAGAGGCCCCCGTACCACAAAAACAAACTCAGGGAAGAGCTCATTGATGATTTTTCTAGGATCAGGGTGGACAACTTGTCCTTAAGTGGGGAGTAAGGAGGCAAAGTTTCAAAGGAGCAGGTCTTCCAAGTAATTTGTTCTGCCCTATGAACATTTCTCTGGAGTCAGTTTCTCCTTCGAGGCCTAGTTATAGTGTCATCTTCCAAACCAAAAACCAGAACACAGGTCCAAACATGCTGGGCATGGTGGTCCATGCCTGTAATTCCAGCAGTTGGGAGGCTGAGGCAGGAGGATTACCATGGTGGTCCATGCCTATAATTGCAGCAGTTGGGAGTCTGAGGCAGGAGGATTACCTGAACTACATAGTGAGACCCTATCTCAAAAAAAAAAAAAAAAAAATTACAAGGAATCAATTTATGCTCTATCAAATTTAATAAAATGCTACTACATTTTTTTCTAATAGGAACATTAATGTAGACAGATCAGTCCAGTGGACTATTGAATAGCAGGCACTGTCTTAGAAAACAGACACGGTAACTGGGCATGGTGGTGCGTACCTGTTATCCCAGCTGCTCAAGGCTGAGGCAGGAGGATCACAAAGCCTAGCATGGGCAATTTAGCAAGACTCTGTCATAAAATAAAATAAAATAAAACAAAACAAAGGGCTGGGACATAGCCTAGTAGTAGGGTGCTTGCTTGGCTTGAGCAAGGCCCAGGGTTTGATCCAGAGGCAACCTCAATAAGGTTCTTTTTTGTTTCTTTCCTTCTTTCTTTCTTTTTCTTTCTTTCTTTTTTTTTTCTTTCTTTCTTTCTGTTTTTTTTTTTTTTTTTTTTTGGTGCTGGGGATCAAACCCAGGGCCTTGTGCATGCAAGGCAAGAACTCTACCAGTGAGTTACATCCCCAGCCCCTAAATAAGGTTCTTGAAAGCCAAGTGTGATAGCATACACCTGTAGTCCCAGCACTTGGGAGGCTGAGGCAGGAAGACCGTTCTGAGTTTGAGGACAGTCTGGGCTACATAGTGAGTTAGAGGCCAGCCTGAATTACAGAGCAAGACCTTGACTCAAAATACCAAAAACCAAAATAAAACAAAAGGTTCTTGAAAAGTCCATCAGGAAGGAAGTAGTTAAATAAATATGGTATGTCCATGTTATAAAATACTCTACAGTTATTACATGAATTATAATCATAAAGAATGAGATCTGTTATATAAAAGTTTATGTGGCAAGTACTAGTTATATGCCAGTCTGGAGTTATAAGAAAAGATTAAGGTTAAAGGTACAGTTTTGGGTTCTTAAAATATATATGTACAGTTTAGCCAGGCACAGTGACCTACACCCATATACCTAGCTCCTCAGTAGGCTGAGACAGAAGGATCTCAAGTTCAAGGCCAGCCTGCACAAATTAGCTAGACTTAGTCTCAAAATAAAATACAGCTTGAGGGTGGAGTGGGTTCACATTCTCATTTTGTTTATTTTTTAATTTTTTGGGTTTTTTCCAGTACCACGAATTGAACTCACGACCTTGTGCTTGCCAGGCAGTTTCTTTTAATATTTGTACGAAGTTTTGCCTAACTCATGTGCAGGTGGTTCTAAAAAGAGAGAGGGCAAAAAAAGGACAAAGAAAATGTGTGCCTTTTGTAGCATGGCCAGGACTTTGTTGTACGACAGTATTAGTGCTGTCTCAGTTAAAGATTTAATTTTTATGAGGCCAAAGATATAGCTCCGTGGCACAAGTGCCTGCCTGTCAAGCACAATGTCCTGAGTTTAATTCCCAGTACCAAAAGGGAAAAAAAAAGGTTTAATTTGTGTTTAAATCTATAAGTACAACAGTTTTACCGCAGTCTGTACTTACAGAAGAAAAAAATTTCTATCTACATTGTTTTTTTTGCCTCCATTATTTTTAATGCATTGAGAGGTGATTCAGTTTGTGTTTTGGGGAGACTAACATTTAATTTAATCAGGTCAGGCATGGTGGCGCACACTTGTAATCCCAGCACTCGGAGGCTGAGGCAGGAGGGTCACTTCCAGTTCAAAGCCAACCTGGGCTACACAGTGAGTTGGAGGCCAGCCTGAACTGCATAGTGAGACCCTGTCTCAAAAAGAGCAAAAAAAAAAAAAAAATCTTAATACCAAAGCCATTGGAGCGAAATTTGACTGTTACTTTGTCACAAGTCTAAGCAGGCACAAGAAAAACTGTCCTTGAAGGTGGGAAATAGGCTTGCGGCTGAGGCATTTTGTTTCCTGTGCTTAATTTCCAGCACTTTACTGACAGCAGTTGCTGAGCAGGCACTGCCTGCAGTAACAAACGGAGACCTCATCTTCTCAAAGGAGGTTTGGCAGCAGACAGTCACAGAGACTGTTCAGCGTTGTGGGAACCTTTTCCTGGGGGTGAGGCATGTCCCTTTTCTAAAAGTGCAGTGTAATGAAACAATCTGAAGAATGCAGTTAATGCCACTTCTTCACAAAGATGCCATCTTCCTGTAGCTGAAGTGTAATACTGAAGCCCTGGCTTTTCTTGTTTCCTCACTTGCTCTCTGTTTTATCAAACTAATTGTACTTTATGAATATGTTTGTGACATTTGAAGTAAACGTCTCGAGTTGTGAAAAAAAATGACAACAAAACAAAAATATTAAAAGGGCTAGGGGGCTGGGGATTTAGCTCAGCGGCAAAGTGCCTGCCTGGCAAGCAGAAGGTCGTGAGTTCGGTTCCCGGTACCGGAGAAAAACCAAAAAAAAAAAAAAAAGGGCTGGATATGTAGCTCCGTGGTAAAGCATCCTTGGGTTCAATCCCCAGTACCACAAAAACATCAAGTGAAACAAAAACACGTCATTTAAAAAGAGCCTTTGTTGCCGGGTGTGGTGGCGCATGCCTGTAATCCCAGCACGTGGGAGGCTGAGGCAGGAGGATCGTTGCGAGTTCGAGACCAGCCTGGGCTACAAAGTGAGCTCAAGGCCAGCCTGAACAGCATAGGGAGACCCTGTCTCAAAAAGACAAACAAACGAAAAGACAAACAAACAAAAAACCAAAAAAGAGCCTTTGTCACCAGTCATGGTGGTACACCCCTGTAATCCCAGCACTCGGGAGGCTGAGGCAGGAGGATTGCTATGACTTCGAGGCCAACCTGGACCTCAAAGTAAATTCAAGGTCAGCCTGAACTACACAATGAAACCCTATCACAAAAAAAAAAAAAAAAAAAAAGAGAGAGAGCCTTTGCTTCTAGGTGCTATGGCTTGGATGTGGACTGTCTCCCAAAGATTCATAAATTGAAATTTAACCCCTGTTGTGAACCATGAGAAGAGTGAAACTCTATCCAACTATGGGGTTTAGAAGGCAGCCTTCGGGAGACTGGGATCACACAAGGTTTCAGGGTAGAGGCCGTGATGAGACTGGTGGCCTTAGGAGAAGAGGAAGAGATACCGAAGAGACACACAGCCACACTGCTCCTGGTCTGTCTGGCGTGTGGCCCTGCCCTCCTCAGGAGTTTGCGAGCCTGTGCAAAGTCTGTCCCCACATGCAGCCAATGGTCTTGGACCAGAACTGTGCAAAATAAATCTCTTTTTTTGCCTGCATCCCGTATTTTTTTTGTAGTAACACAAAATGGACTAATACAATATTCATATAAAAATACATTCTCTGTGTCATAACTATTTACTCACCATGCTAGGGAGGTGGCTTCATGGTAGAGGTAGGCCATAGATTTGATCCACAGCATCACTAAAAGGACACAAAATTTATTTTATATTTATTTATTTATTTGTTTATTTATTTATTTGTCTTTTCGAGACAGGGTCTTACTCTTCGGTTCAGGCTGGCCCTGAGCTCACTTTTTAGCCCAGGCTGATCTTGAACTCGCAAGGATCCTCCTGCCTCAGCCTCCCAAGTGCTTGGATTATAGGAATGTGCCACCATGCCTGGCAAGGACATAAAATTTAGAGAAATAAAAATTCTACCCGTGCTTAAAAATGAGTTGTATCCTGCAGGTGATAGACAAAGTGTCTGCATGCATCCATTTGACCAATTTTGCTAATCTTAATGTTGAAGTTTATATTATTCCTAAGCTTTTGTTCCATCAATGATTCCATCAGTGATTCATAAGTATGCAGACTCTTCAACGGTGTAGATTTATTTCTCCTTTGAGATACTTGACACCTGCCTTTGCAGTGAGCTACAGCCCAGCCACCACCCCTCCTTTATTTTGTCTTTTTGAGAGAGGGTCTCACTGTGCAGTTCAGGCAGGCCTTGAACTATATAGCCCAGGCAGGCCTCAAACACCCATGGATCCTCCTGCCTAAGTTTCCCAAGTGCTGAGATTATAAACATGTGCCACCATGACTGGCTTACTTTTGTTTTAATATTGGATTTGAAACATATGCTATTTGCAAGAGACATGCCAAAACAAAAAGATTTTAAGTGGGGCATATAATCCATTTACCCTTAATGTAATTACTGAAGTACATTTGAAGTAAAAATCTACCTTCTTTTACTTTCTATTTTGTCCTGTTATGTTTCTCCTTATCTCCTTTCTTGCCTTTTATTTTCTTTTAATCTTTAGTCTTTTTTTTTTTTTTTTTAATCTTTAGTCTTGAGATCCGGCCCGAAGCAAGTACCAGTTTTTTTTTTTTTTTTGGTACTGGGAATTGAATTCACAACCTTGCACTTGCCAGGCAGGTGCTGTGCTGCTGAGCTATTTCCCTGGCTCTTGCTTTTTATTTTGAGAACCAATTTTGTTTGTTTGTTTTGTTTTTTGAGATAAGGTGTCACTATGCATTTCAGGTTGGCCTCAAACTTGTGGCAATCCTGTCTCAGCCTCGGGAGTGCTGGGATTACAGGTGTGTGCCACCAAGCAGAGTGAAGATGACTATTTTAAAATGATGCTATTTTCCCCTTTACTAACTGGAATGATTTTTATTTTTTTTATGCAGAAGTTGACAAAACTATAGCCTGTAGGTCAAATCGAGCCTGCTGCCTGTTTTTTCAAACAAAGAGTTATTGGTATATACCATGCCCATTTTAAATATTGTCCATGGCTGTTTTCATGCTACAACATGACAGCTGAGTAGCTACATTGGGGATTATTAGGGTTTCACAGACTAAACTACTTACTATCTATTCATTTACAGAAAAATTTGCCACCCCTCCCCCTTTATTTTTGAGACAGGATCTCACTTTGCAGTCTAGGCTGGCCTTGAACTCATTATGTAGCACAGGCTGGCCTTGAACTCCAGGCAGTCCTCCTGCCTCACCTTCCTGAGTGCTGAGATTACAGCCATGTGAAATCATGCCCAGCTACACCTAGTTCAAATCTTGAATTAATCAAAACTTTTACTGTTTTAGCTAGGCTTTGTGGTGTACACCTGTAATCCCAGCTCTCAGAGAACCTTGAATGACATATTGAGAACCTGTCTCAAAAACAAAACAAGCTGGGCGTGGTGGCTCACACCTGTAATCCCAGAACTTGGGAGGCTGAGACAGGAGGATCATTGCAAGTTCAAGATCAGCCTGGGCTACAAAGTGAGCTCAAGGCCAGCCTGAACTGCACAGCGAGACCCAGTCTCAAAAAGACAAAACAAACAAACAAACAAACAAGAAACCCTTTTAATTCCATTTACCCTTTTCCACAAATTATGTTATTATAGTTAGGAAATTTATTTTTTTAAATAAACTTTTTTATTTTAGAATAATTTTACATAGCCAAGATCGTATAGTGAGTCCTTGTGTACCTTAGTCTCGCCTAACCCTTACATCTTAGATAACTTTGGTACACTTGTCAAAACCAAGATTAACATCGGTATATTTACGAGTAACTAAACTGCTGACTACATTTGGATTTCATATTTTCCTCTCTCATAATGTCCTCTTTCTGTCCAGAATCCAACCCAGGGTACTACTTTGTATTCAGGACTTTTTAATTTTTTTAAAATTTTATTTATTTATTTATTTAATTTTTGGTCTTTTTGAGACAGGGTCTCCCTATGCAGTTCAGGCTGGCCTTGAGCTCACTTTGTGGCCCAGACTGGTCTCAAACTCGCAACGATCCTCCTGTCTCAGCCTCCCGAGTGCTGGGATTACAGGCGTGCGCCACCACACCCAGCTAACTTCAAGACTTTTTTAAAATGCTGGAAACTAAATCTACAGCATTCTACCCTGAAGTACACCTTCAGGTCCTAGGCAGGTATTTTGTAAAATTTCCCTGGATTTGAGTTCGTGTGATGCTTTTTCTATGCTTAGACAAAGGTTATGTGCTTTGGGAGGAAAAGTACCAGGGATAGCAAGCATACCCTTCTCCTATAGCAGGAGGTACATATCAGCTGGTGATACCAATCTCAATTATTTGATTAGGGTCATGCCTATGAGTTTTCTCCATTGTAAATGTGCTATTTTTCTCTTTCCATACTTTGGTTTTTGGAAGTAAGCCCCTAAGTCTAGCCCACATTGGAGGTGTAGAGGGTGTGGAATGATTGAACTCCATTTCCTGAACAGGGATCTATCTATATCCCTATCTAGTTCTATCTCTGTCTATCTCTCTCTATCTCCATCTCCATCTATCTGATTTCTTGTGTGGAAAAAGTTTGTCTCCCCTCACGATATTCTGTCCTATCATTTATTTTTACTGATATGAATTCGTGCATATTTATCTTGTAGTACTTTGTGTTATAGTCCAACACAGCACTATGTTACTTATTGTGTTGCTCAGTTGTTCCAACCTTTGCCGCTTGGAACTCCTCTCACCTTGGCGCTTGTGTCCCTCTGACATACCCATCACTACGGAGTTATGAGCAATTCCTCACTTTCTCACATTATAAGATGCTTAGGGTTCCCCCTCCTGTCTCTCCCACTACATAGTACCCCGGTTACCAGTTTTAAAGTGACCCAATTCACCCCTTTTCCATGATGGCAGCATTTTGTACCACCTACGTGCAGTGACTGTCCTCTTAATCCTAGAATTTGACGCACCCCCCCCCCCCGTCCAAGCCATGCCTGCATTTATATTCAGTCTTACACACTTTGCTGTGCTGTGGAGTCCACCTCCAGAACCAGTTGAAGGCCCTTCCCTCTTCTACAAGTCCTACCGTCCACCTTTAGCTTCACAGCTTATCTGCCACTCAAGACCTGGCTCTAGCCTAATATCCAAGACCACCAAAGTTATGAAGAGACGTGTGAGCTAATTTGGAGGTAAGATCACAAGTGCCATTTTATTACCTTCGGCTTGAGGTATGTGCAAGATCCAAATATCTTCTACCTCACCCCTTCTTGGTTTTGTTTTGGCATTTTTTTGGTACCAGGAATCAAACTCAGGGCCTTGCGCTTGCCAGGCAGGTGCTGTGCCGCTGAGCTATATCCTCGCCGTCCTTGGTTCTGATGAGGACTTCATTTCCTCCATTTTCTTCAGTCCAGTAAAGGCCATTGGGTGAAACCCATTAGTCACTTCAGCACAATTATTATTCTGTATCAACAATAGATTGTGCTATAGTTTTGGTGTGTGTGTGTGTGTGTGTGTGTGTGTCTGTGCATACTTTCTTGTCTGTATATATAATGTTAAAGGCTGTCCCCCCACCAGAGATCTCTGGATAATTCTAACAAATCTTTTTTATTAGTATGTACAATGGAGTTGGAACACATATATAACATATCTTAATTCTTTCTTTTTTTGTTCTCTGCTGCTCCCATCCCTGCCTGCTCCTTCCAACTCTTTTTTTTTTGCGGTACAGGGGATTGAACTTAAGACCTCGTGCTTGCCAGGCAGGAACTTACGCCACTGAGCTATATCCCCAGCCCAATAATGTTTTTTTTTTGTTTGTTTGTTTTGTTTTTGTTTTTCTTTCCGTACCAGGAATCGAATTCATGACATTGCGCTTGCCAAGCAGGAGCTGTGCCGCTGAGCTAAATCCCCAGCCCCCATCCTTCCAACTCTTGGTCCCATTCTTTTTTGCAAAGGCTCTATTTCCTTTTTTTTTTTTTTCAGTTCTTTTTTCCATCCCCTTTTCCTTCCCTTTCCTCCATCTCATCTAACAAACTTTTGAACCTCTCTAGTTCAGCCTAGAGCACAGATTTCACTGACAATGATCTGACTCCTCTAATACAGGATCCACATACCATTGCACGCCTCCAAATGTTGATAGATTGTATGTACACGTGTGTGTGTGTGTGTGTGTGTGTGTGTGTGTGTGTGTGTGTTTTCCTGGGACTGAAACCAGGAGGCTGCACTGCTAGGCCAGTGCTATCCATCTGAGCTGCACCCCCAGCTCCTCGGTGGTAGGTTTTCTTTGGTTGTTCCTTTACCTTACAACTTTCTTCCAAAACTTTGATTCTTGGCCTACCCTGTAATCTCCCACAACAGTTCTGTCGGCTCGCTGTACCCACCATGCCGTTCCAGTCCACTTCAACTCCCTGCGTCTTGTACTAGAATTGCTTATATGTGTTGGAGTTTCTAGGGCATAGGGACCCAGTCTTTGTCTCCTGTCTCCTCTGACTGCCAGAGTGTGACTAGCCTCTAGTGTTCCCCAAAGCTGAGCAATGCACCTTGTTCATGACACATAAATATCATACGGAACTCCGTAAGAATTAAATTCTCTTGATGTCTTTATACCATCTACGTGCCTGGCAGGTAAAAGCTGTAGAGTCCTCTTGCACGCAGTGCATGGGAGAGCTAACCCTGTGCTGTCTCCCAGGCACACGTGGATGTGGGCTACTGCTCCTGTTGGCATCCTGTAGAGATTCAAAGGGTGCTCTGCTCTCTTGGGCTCTAGAAAGCTAGATCTCTTCTCTGACGACTCTCCTCATGACGTCAAGGTGCAAGGTGGATTTACCCAGTGAAGACACACAGGAGAGAGTCATGGGGACCGAAGCAGATGGCCTCTGCAGCCTCCTTGCCTAACTGCAGCCCTCTGGAGCTGCAGAGGTAGGAAGAAGTGTCCTTGGAGGATGAAAGACAAAGGTGTGACACTCAGAAGGCACTGCAAGGGCCGGGGATATAGCTCAGCGGCACAAGCGCCTGCCTAGCAAGCACAAGATTCCCAATACCAAAAAAAACCTGCCTAGAAGGCACTGTGAGAGTGGTGGTGGTGGTGGTAGGGAGTTGGTTAACGATCTAAGGCAGCAGAGGCTGGAGGCACACAGATGTGTGGAGGGCCTATGACTGCTTTTCAAAGATTGATTACCCTTATAAAACTGAAATCTGGCTCCTCAGCCACCACCATCTTGCCCAAAGTCACAGCGACCTTCGTGGGGGCGGTTTTATCCCAGGAGCGTCCGAGGGTGTCTATGAGCTGGAGATTTCTCTGCCACGAGGGGGAGCCGGCTCTCTACTATGGGAGCCACAGGTGTCGGGCCCTGAGGAGTGGGCACGGGTCTGGGGTTGAAGAGGGCGCCCTCTATTGGTCAAAATGTGTGAGCGCGGGAGAGTAAAACACGCAGACTGAAGCTTGCAGTGCTCATTGGGGTCTCACCACCAAACGGTGTTCCGCACCCCCAGTGTCCTTTCCGCTCCGCTTGCAAACCCGGGGCAGAGGCTGCAACCCTTATCTCACGGTCTCTGTGGATTGTAGTAGTGATGGTCCTGTGGGTCCGCTTTTTGAGCGGTCCCTAGGGTACTAGAGGCACAGCTTCTTCCCTTCCCCCCGGAATTCGCTCACGGCCCCACCGCTCCTCTCCCTGTGTGTGTGTGTCTGGGACTAGAAAGCGCGCAGCCCGCACGGGCAGTGACCCGGGTGCGGCGGATGAGAAACGCACGGACGCTAGAACAAGGTTGGACATCGGGCCGTGCGCTGCACAGTTACAGGCCCGAATCTGCTCTTGGGACCCCGCCACCTCCAACCACGTACCGCGTCCGACTCACTCCCTGCGCGTCACCTTTCCAAAACAAGACGTTCATTTTATTTCTGAGATCGGAATAAGCGGGCGAAGGTGGAAACCACTGAGTCAAGAACAAGAACAGTCCCCCAGAGAGGAGAAAATCTTCCGCCCCGCCGAGGGCTGCTGGCGGCCCGGGCTCTCCCGGCGAGTGCCCTCGGCCAGGCCCCGTCTCACGCCGGCCCGCGGCCCGCTTCACTGCACCGCGGGCGGCACGGCCTTCCCGCGGGTCGGCGCCACGCTTCCGGCCGGGCCCAGCCGGGGCGGTCCGGACGGCCTCGCAGACGGAGGGAGCTGCAGCCACGCATGCCCGAGCCGCGGGGACGGAGCACCGGAACGGGAGGCTCAGCAAGGCTACGGGGATGACCTGTGCGGAAGAGGCAGCGAGAGCTGAAGGCCGAGAAGCAAGGAGCTAGAGCATTCATTCGGTGCAGGAGTCGGGGCCAACAGAGTGTATGCAAAACAGACCGTTGTTAAGCCTAGAGAGTGCTCATAAAATGCGTAAAGGGCTGAGAGAAACCTTCACCCTGACCCAGAAAGCTCCTGTTCATCCTTCAAAACCCAGTCTAAGAACCTCTCTGTACTCTTTTTGACCTACTCCAAGGCAGAAAGTTCCTTTTCTGCATCTTTTTCACATCCTGTAACCTCTTATCACAATCAGATCTCACCCATGAATGAGGAGCTTCTTGTGAGCAGAATATTGCTGAGCTTTGGAAACCCGTGTCCAGCCAAGTTCCTGGTACTGCACTATCCAGAAAGTACTCGCTAAGTACTTAGTTGTTGAGTGACCAGCAGGGGGAAGGATACCTGTTCCTTCTCCTGTGCAGCGTGGATGTGTCTGGAGATGGGAGCAGCCGGAATTTCATCTGTCAGTGGCTGAGGAAAGTGGATGGCCTGCAGGAGGCTCTCAATGCATCGCGCTTTGGACTGTCCAGAGAACCGCTGTGGACAGAGTGGGCCAGTCAGGGTCAAGGCCAGCGATCAAGGAAGAGGAACTGGGGAAGTGACAGGCTGGATCCTGAAGACTGGCTTGTCTCACAATCCCCAAAGGTAAAGAAGCATTGAGTTGCTAGGCATGGTGGCACACACCTGTAATCCCAGACTCAGGAGGCTGAGGCAGGAGGATGGCCGGGAGTTAGAGGACAGTCTGGGCTATGTAAGCGAGTTCAAGGCCAGCCTGAACTACATAACTAGACCCTGCCTCAAACTCCTCCCACCGAGAGAACTACTGGGTTACAGGGGTTGGTGGTGGGCAGTGCTTGGCTGGGCTAAACCAGAATTAATGGTAAATTGGCCAGATTTTCCACTGTGTCCCAACAACCCCACAGATTGGTTCATTTTATTTTATTTATTTATTTATTTATTTTTGTTTTTCTCCGGTACCGGGAACCGAACTCACGACCTTGCGCTTGCAAGGCAGGCGCTTTGCCGCTGAGCTAAATCCCCAGCCCCTATTGGTTCATTTTAAACTGCACTCTCTCCAGTTTCCTCCCAAACCAGATCTACCCTGCACCCTGAAATCAAGACATCAGCAAACACTGTTTCCATTTTGTCATTATCTTCTCCTCTGTCTAGCCCAGCACTGTCCAGAAATATAATGCAAACCACATATGTAATTTCAAATTTTCTACTTTCTGCATTAAAAAAGAGAGGTGGTTGAGTGTGGTGGTGCACGCCTGTAATTCCAGCACTCGGGATGTTTGGACAGGAGGATCGCTTCGAGTTCAAGGCCAGCCTGAACTACATAGCGAGACCCTGTCTCAAAAGGAAAAGAAAAGAGGTGAAATTAATTTTAATTGATGTATTTTATTTAAATTAATATACTCAAATATTCCAACACATAAGCAATTTTAAAAATTATTAAAGGAGATAGTTTATAATCTTTTTATAATAAGTTTTGAAATCTGGTGTATATTTTACAACTATAGTACACCCCAATTTGGGTGTTCAATTTGCAATGTCAAAATTGCAATGCAAACTTAACAAAATAATAAAATTATATTTTATGAGAAAAATTACATTGCTTCAGTTTCTACATAAGATTAAAAATTCAGCTGAATAGTGGTGCACGCTTGTAATCCTAGCTACTCAGGAGACTAAAGCAGGAGGATCATGAATTCAAGTTCAGCCTGGGCAACTTAGTAAAACTCACTAAATAACGGGGGGTGGGGTGGGGTGATGTAGCTCAGTAGTAGAGTATCCCTGAGTTCAACCCTTCACACTGCAAAATAAATAAGTAAATAAATAAAATAAAAATTCAGTTCCTCAGTCAGTCCAGCTACATTTCAAATGCTCCAAAACTACCTGTGACTGGTGGCCACATTTTGGACAGCACAGCTCCAGCTGTGTTTGGCAAGTCCAAACGCCTGTCTGGTTTTAAACTTTCACAGTCCCTCCCCTTCATCACCTCTCACCACTCTATAAAATGACTCTTCATTCTGTCAGACCTGTATCCCCTACATACTATGCCGAGCTTCCCTTCTGGGCCTTGGCTACTGCTCCTTCGAACATGAATCCTCTTCTGCCCTGCATCTACCCAAGTCCTAACTCCCAAGCCTAGCTCAAATAGCCCCTTTCCCATGAAGCCGTCTCTTTATTATTGTACAGACTGACCCTAGCTTCTTTGTTGTTCTACTGGACTTAAGTGAGTTCCATAGGTTGTTTTAGGAACCCAGTGGGAATTCACTAAATGTGCATAGATAGATTCTTTTTACATAAGGTTGCCATATTTAGCAAACAGAAATACAGGACATCCAGTTAAATTTGAATTTCAGATCCATAATGAAAAAAATTCATATATGTCCCAGTTATTGCATGAGACATATATATATTTAAAAAGTATTTATCTGAAATTCAAATTTAACTGGATGTCCTGGTGGTTTGTTTGTTTGCTTTGCTAAAGTTGGCAACCAAAAAGTCAAGGATGGCAACATTCGAGGCCATCCCTGGTGCTATCTGCTCAGCAACTCTTCTCCTCCTTCTGGTTCTAGCACCTGGATTTTCCTCTAGGGAAATATTGTTCCCCATGCTCAGGCTACAAGGTCTGACTAGAGCTCACCTGTGGCCCCTTCCTCTACCACCCTCTTGAAAGAAAAGTGCCCTGTCCCCTGGAGAACAATGATTGGTTCAGAGGTGCTCATGTGACCTCACCCAAGCCAATGAAGAGTCTTCCCCTAAGCATTTCTGGGAATCACAAGGACAGAATGCTCTCCTCCCACCAGGTCACTAAATTGGCGAGGTGTCCTGTTTGGCACTGCCTGATCAATACGCCTTCTAGTGGAGAAAATCTGCAAGAGAATAAGAGCAACGCAGAGGAAATCAGAGCTAAGGGCTAAAGGTTCTAGACTCTATCATTAGGGCATCTGGCTGCCCTAGGATTGTTCAATTACAAGAACAATCATTTGCCTTTTTAGCTTAAACCAATGTGAGCTGGTTTCTGTTATATGCTTGTAACTGGAAGTCTCTTGGCTAACAGTCACAGCTCACGCTCACGTGCCCATGTGTTCACAGACAGGAAGGATGCTCCAGATAAAAGGAGCAGGAGAAAAATCATGTCTTACCCCCGTACATCCCCTCCCTTTGCAAAATGCTCTCCCACGGCAGCCTGGACTTTGAGCTCTATCCATTACATTCCTACCTGAAGCAGGGCCAGTGCCCGCCAGAAGAGCTTGGAGTTGCCAATGCGGAGGTCCAGCATGTGGTTTTGTAGGATCTTCCCCAGTAGCACATGGGCCTCTGTACTCACCGTATTCAGCACCCACTTGGTGCTCAACTCACGCTGGAACTTCTAAAAAAGACACACATATGAGGCTGTCAAAAATTAGAGGACAGCAGAGCAGCAGGATGGACAAGAAACTGTTGGGGACCACTACAAAGTGGCTCTGAGCAGGATTTAATATTAACCAATTGGCTTTCCATGTTTACTTGTGACTTGTCTGAAGCTTAGGCACCTTGTCTGACAAGATAAGGCCACAGCCGAAGACTCCAACCCAAATTAGTACAAAGAGACTGCAGCTGCAGCCGCCACACTCCTACAGTAAATACCAACATAAAGATAAGGTAGTTCTTCTCATTGACATCATTTACTACTTGGGAAAATTCTCCCAAGGTCCTGTGAGATTCTGCGTTTTCTTGAGTATCCTCTTCCTTTGTTTGAAAACCAAATAAATATGGGCTGCCCAGAGCAGTCTTTGGCTAACTCAGAATACTGAAGCTGTAAGGGAGTTAGTCCCTCCCAGCGCCCTAAAATCATTGCCATTGTCTCATTAATTTAAGCCTTTGCATCCTCTCACTTGGGAGATTGCCTGATCAGCCTGCAAGAACTTAGGGTTATTTAACCTAGTTTTCGATAAGAAGCCACGGGTGGAAAACCAGTGACCAAAATATAGAAAACGTTTGTTTGAACAGCCCAGGGTGTACATCTTAGGACACCGGGTATAAACCAGGACTGTCCCAGGCAAAAACCTAGCAGCTTTGCCCACTTGTGCTTTTATCTACTGGGTAGAGAAAATTTTTTTCTGACTCCTTCTATAGTAGGTTTTTGTTCTTGTTAAAATGTCCCTCTTGTTCCTTGGTACCAGACAAAGAGGAGTGGAAGTCTTGGGGCTCATCCACTAAATGAGGGAGAGATGGTGTCTAACTGTGCTCCAGAGCCCCAGCCCCTTGGATAATGGCTGACACGGGGCTGCTGCTCAATGGGCGTCTATTGAAGAATGAATTCCATGTAATCTTTAGAGCACCCCTGTGGAATAGGTATTTCTATCCGCATGTGTATGTGTGAGGAAACTAGAGGTTAGACATGAATTAACTTGAGTAAGTTCACATGCTAGTGAGACACAAAGCAGAACTTAATCTAAGTCTTCTGATTCAATGAGGAGGGCATTTCCTACTTTTCCACAGTCATCTTCTGGACCGGTGAGAGAATGTGGGGAAGCATGTTGAAAACAAAAAACTCACGAGCGCTCGCAAACACACAGGTACTGTGAGCATGCCTGCCGCCTGTCCTTGGCCCACGCGGCTTGCCCACTTTGTGGCAATTATAACATCTATTACTGCATTTGGAGGGCAATAGAGGTATTAAAGGGATTCATGTGGGGGCTGGGGATTTAGCTCAGCGGCAAAAGCGCCTGCTTGGCAAGCGCAAGGTCGTGAGTTTGGTTCCTGGTACCGGAGAAAAACCAAAAAAAAAAAAAAAAAAAGGGATTCATGTGGCCCTAGAAGGCTAAGAACACAGGTTGCTACTCCTTTTATCTCTTTAATCTACAGCCCCTGAAATAGCTGGGCATGCCAGCTTCGGGAAGAGGGTGTTGGAATACATTTAATAAGTGCATGACAGAAATCTGACCAATGAGGCTGGCTGGTGTATGTACTGATCCTAAAGCTGTATGTCACACTGTCCCTAGGAGAGAGTACAATTAAATTTGGTTTATATCATTATACTGCTAACCATTTTTGCCATTAACTATCAGTAACACAAACATATTTTAAGGTTAATATAATTTGGAGCTAGACCTGTTCATTTTATTTTTATTATTTTTGGGTTTTTGAGACAGAGACTTGCTATGTAGCTCAGACTGGCCTTGAACTCACTACCTACCTCAGTCTTGCCTAGAACTTGTGGTGATCCTCCTGCCTCAGCCTCACAAGTGTTGGGACTACAGGCATGCACCACCATGCCTGCAACATATTCATTTTAAAATTCATATGGGAAAAGAAACCTGCAATTATAACCAGGAAGATCCTTAAAGAGTAATGAGAGAAAGATTAATCATATTGGGTATTAAATATATCATAAAATATCTAGAACTGAATATAAGGTAGCAGCACATCAATAGAAAGACCAAAGGAAGGGAATGGAAAGTCCAGAAATGAAACAATGCACAGGAAATTGAGTGTGTGATACAGGCAGCAGGCCAAATCACTCAGGAAAGTACTTAATAAATCATATTGGACAAATGGAAAATTACATGGAAAAAGACAGAACTGAAATTTATGCCTTGTCCCATTATATAAGAACAAACTAAAGAATTAAACATCTAAACATATTTTAAAAAATTTTTTACAAGAAGAAAACATGGGTGGAATTCTTTTAGTCTGAGTACAGGGAAAAGCTTTCTGCGTCTTAAGATCCAAATTTAGTAAAAGATAGATTGGTAAGTTCAACATCAGAAAAATTAATGCAGACTGTTGCATAGTTAAAATACAGAAAAAGGGCCGGGAATATAGCTCAGTGGCACAAGCGACTGCCTGGCAAGTGCAAGGTCCTGTGTTCAATTCCTGGAAAAAAAAAAAAAAAAAAAAAAAAAAAAAAAAAAACCCACAGAAAAAATATTAACAACACATATCAAAAATAAAAGCCTGATGTATTTATACAGAATCAAAATCAAAGGATCAGAAAGACTAAAACCCCACTAGAAAAAGAAGTAAAACACACAAACAGTTCATGAAGAAAAAAAAATGTACTAAAGTTCCTTAAGCAGATGAAACATGCTCAGCCTCACATGTAGTAAAAGAAATACAAATAAACACTACATGGAAATGGCATGGCTCATCTATCAGGTCAGTTCACCTAAGTCCAAAAGCTAGATGATATTCTGGGAGAGACCCACCGGAAGTGGCACTCTCACACACTGCTGATGTGAAAAGTAAATAGTACAACTCTCGGGAGGAAAATTTAACGATGTTTAACAGTATTACTTATGTATTTGGCCATTGAACCAGCTCTAATACTTCTGGAACTTATCCCAAAGAGACACTTCTAACATTGCAAAAATACATGCATACTCACTGCATTATTGGTAAAAGCAAAATGTTAGAAACAAACTAAATGCTCTACATAGGAGATTGAGTAGGTAAACTATTGTACATGCACACAGACACACAAGCACCCCTCCACACACACATGTACCCGCTCCCACACACACCAATGAGGAAGGGATCTTCAGTGATTTTCAAAATACTTTGTCAAGCAAAAATGCAAGATGTAAATAAGGTGTGCTACTTTTTGGCTAAGAAAATTTTTTCTTTTGTTTCCTTTTGTTTTTGTTTTGCAAAAAAAAAACCACAGCAAAAAGTGTGGGTGTGCATATTTCATAACGAGCCTACTTGAGTATGCTCTCATCTTAAGTATTAAAATGAAACAAGCAAGCTAGGTGTGGTGGCACATTCCTGTAATTCCAGCATTCTGACAGGCTGAGGCAGAAGGATCCCAAGTTTGACCCCAACCTGTGCCACTGCATTTTCCTGGATTTTTTTTATGGTTTTTCTGGTTTTTTTCCGGTACCGGGAACCGAACTCACGACCTTGCGCTTGCCAGGCAGGCGCTTTTGCCGCTGAGCTAAATCCCCAGCCCCACATTTTCCTGGAAAATAAGACCTAATCAGAAAACAATCAGCCTTGAAAACTAGAGATCAAGCTGGGGATATAGCTCAGTGGCACAAGCACCTGCCTGGCAAGTGCAAGGTCTTGAGTTTGATTTCTGGTTCCAAAAAGAAAAAAAAAAAAAAAGAAAGAAAGAAAACTAGAGATCAAAAATGCCAGCCCCAATAACCATGCCTTACCTGCCCAGAAAGGGTAGCTACTGAGCAAGAGACTGGTGAGGTATAATCTTCTGCAAAGCACTGACCATTACCATGGTAACAAGCAGCACTTATTTTCAAGTTAGGTCTTACTTTTGGAGAAATACAGAATTTAGTAACTAAATGAGACCCTGCCTCAAACTTTAGAAAAATTAAGGGCTGGGGAAATAGCTCAGTGGCACAAGTGCCTGCCTTGTAAACACAAGGTCCTGAGTTTGATCCCCAGTACCAAAAAAAAATTAAAAAGGGCTGAGGATATAGCTCAGTGCAAAAGCCCTGGGTTCAAATGCCAGTACCATTAAAACACATTAAAACACATTAACAAAAAATTCATGAGTCCAGAAGGACACTACCCAAACACAGACAGAGAAAAAGAGAGTAAGAGGGTGCCCTTCCTTGCATAAGAATTTCACCTAATGATATAGATAGAAGGGATGGAAATAGAAAACACCATCCTAAAAACTGAGCCACCAATGGGTGCTCAAACCAGGGGTGAGCAACCGCTGAGCAGTACAGTGACAGGGAGCTAAGAGACATCATCTTCACCAAGGGACCAAACGCAGCCTCATCGAGAAAAGCAGAAGCTGATATCAGCTGCCTCCTGATGTGGCTTGCTGGTAAGGGCACAACTTCTGCCATGTGCTCTTGCCAAGAAGTTTAACCTGAATAGAATGAACAATCAGCCAATCCAAGGGAGGCATATTCTTAAAAATAATTTGCCTAGACTTCTAAAACATCAATGTCAGACAGACAAAAAGGGAAAAGAAGGAAGGCAGGAAGGCAGGAAGGCAGGAAAGAAGGAAGGCAGGAAGGGAAGGAAGGGAAGGAAAGGAAGGAAGGAAGGAAGAAAGAAAGAAGAAAGGAAAGAAAGGAAGGAAGGAAGGAAAGAAAGAAAGAAAGAAGAAAGAAAGAGAAAGAAAGAAGAAAGAAAAAGAAAGAAAGAAAGAAAGAAAGAAAGAAAGAAAGAAAGAAAGAAAGAAAGAAAGAAAAAGAAAAAGAAAGAGAAAAAAAGAAAAAAGATAAGAAAGAAAAAGAAAGAAAGAAAGAAAGAAAGAAAAAGAAAGAAAGAAAGGGCTGGAGATTTAGCTCAGCGACACAGCACCTGCCTGGCAAGCACAAGGTGGTGAGTTGTTGTGAGTTTGACTCCCAGTACTAGAAGAAAAAAAAAAAAAGGAAAGAAAGAAAGAAAACTTCAAGATATTAATTAAAGCGAAGAGACCTAATAACTACACATACTGCATCATCCTTGATTGGATCCTGGATCCAGAAAATAAAAGCAACCAGGAAGATAATTAGGGAAATCTGAATATGGTCTGGGTATAATGGTATTATGTCAATTATCTTTGTCTTGAGTGGGTAGTAATATTGCAGTTATACAAGGGAATGTCCTTGTTCTTGGGGAACACATTCCAAAGTAACTGGTGTTAAGTGTTATGGTATCTCCCGTTTCCTTTCAAATGATCCAGAGAAAAGAAAGAAACGAAACACAGACAAAAGCGTTGGTGAATCTAGGGAAAAGCACATGGCTGTTCTTTGTATTAGTCTTGCAATTTTTTAGGCTTGAAAATTTTAAAAATAAAAGTGTGGAGCAGTTTCTGTGAAAAATATTTCTACAAGCCCGGCATGGTGGCCCACACCTGTAATCCCAGCACTTGAGAGGCTGAGGCAGGAGGATCACAAGTTTGAGCCCAGCGTGGGCAACTTAGTGACATAGTGAGAACCTGTCTCAAAAAAGAAAAAGGGCTGAGGATGTAGCTCAGTGGTAAGAGCCCAGGTTCAATCTCCAGTAACACACATACACAAACGCATGCGCATTCATGCACATAACCTACAACTAAGGATTTATAAGCCCTAATGGGAGCCCGCTTGTTTCTGATAATATTAATCCATTTAGAAAGATGAGACCAGCATCAAGTGAAAGATAAAAACTACCAAGGAAAAGACTCATACAATTGAGTGCACTAAATGTCTCTACATCAAAAAAATATATATGTAAAGCTGGGGTTGGTGGCACATGCCTGTAATCCCAGCACTCAGGAGGCTGAGGCAGGAAGATCATTGTGAGTTTGAGACTAGCCTGGGCTACAAAGTGAGCTCAAGCCCAGCCTGAGCTGCACAGCAAGACCTTGTCTCAAAAAGACCAAAAAAAAAAAAAATATATATATATATATAGATAGATAGATAGATAGATAGATAGATATACACACACACAATAAACAAGGTAAAACGTAAAACAGAAAAAAGGGCTACTTTTGTTGCTCTACACATCTCTTACAAATCAAGAGGAAAATAAATGCCCTGCTCAAGAAGAATGGGTAATGCATTCTGCTCTTGAGTGTGTTCTATATCTTCCTCTAAATCCTTCTCATGCCTCTTAAAAAAAGAATGAGTGAATATACCAAAAAGACGTGAGAAGTACATGAAAGAAAAAAATCATATGGCAAATACATATGTTTAGTCAGTAAACCTCCCTAGTAATTAAGGAAATATAAATTAAAACAACACAGAAAAACCTTTTGTTAGGTTTGTGGCTTTGGTGATTAGCAAAGGTTAATGAATTGAAGATTAGTGAAGATTTGTGTTTACGATAATGTGACAGAACAAGAAATTTCACACTTTATTTATAAACCTCTTTGGAGGTCAATTTGACCATATATGGGGTTTTGTTTTGTTTTGTTTTGTTTTTTGTCTTTTTGAGACAGAGTCTCGCTATGTAGTTCAGGCTGGCCTTGAGTTCACTTGATCTTAGCCAAAAGGCCGAGAAGCGATAGGCTGGCCTTGAGTTCACTTTGTAGCTCAGGCTGGTCTTGAACTCACAAAGATCCTCCTGCCTGAGCCTCCCAGAGTGCTGGGATTACAAGTGTGCACCACCACACTCAGCACTTAATATTTGTTGAATGAATGAATAAAAGAATGTATCTTAAATCTTAGATATGGTTGAAATTTTTTTGTATAGCAAAATAAACCACATACTTTGAGTCACGTGACCTGGGTTTAAGTCCTGATTCATTTCTTAGCTGTACGGCCATGATCAAAATCCCTCAATATCTTAGTTTCAGCTGTAAAATCATGCAACTGAATGCATTCCTTAGGAGGCTGTTATGGGAACTGAGATAACAATCATGAGATGTTTTAGAAGGTGCAAAGGGTTATGGCATCTTAGGTGTTATGACAATATAAAGAACCCTATAGTTAGGAGAGGTATATGACATGAAGGAGGGCCAAGGTGACATGTGGTTTTTAGAGGTTCATGTAAGTGGGGGAGCATGCCAAGAAGTAGGGTTGTGACAATGAACATCATTAGGAAGGGAAGACAAAGACGTGCACTAGGAGGACAGCGGATCTCCTGCTTTGGCAAGAGAAGCTTCCTTAAGAATTTTGAGTCCATTGAGGCAGCCTGTGAACTGTCCAGTCAGTCCGGAAGCTTCCTAAAGGAGGCGATATGAACACCAGATGAGAGACCACATCTCCCCCAGGCAACTCTTCAGAGCCCTGGTTCTGCCCCCGGGCAGGTGGTGTGTGCAAAAAAGCAAAGCTCAGGGATAGAAGATTTCTTTTTTTGTGGGAGCCGCACGGCAGAGCTGGCCCGGAACCCAGATTTTCTGATGCCTGCTCCAAACTAAATTGCAAAGTGCACACAAGCTGATTATGACTTCTATGATTCCTATCAGTGCTTGTCCTGGGTTGTAATTTCATGATCAAGCAGGGACTGTATATTAGTGAATTCAGCATAGTGTAACTTGGCAAAAAAAATGTGCCTTATAAGCTTTAGGATAGTAATGACAACTATAGTATCAACAGTTAAGTTGTCCCAAAGGGCAAATGGACATCTGTCAAGTGCCTGATGGCCCATCCTGACCTTTTGCACATTCTTAGAGCAAGGTAAGCTCAGCAGTCTGTTGCCTTGTAATGGGTCTCAAAGGTAGGGAGGAAGGCTCTAGACAAGAGAAAGGCCAGAGTCAGGCAGTGACAGGGTGAGGTGGATGGGAATGGCAGGTCCAGATCTGGAAGTAACCCGGTAAATCAAGAATCTGCCCTACTGAGTTGCGGGCAGACAAACCTTCACACTTTCTCCCCTCCAACCTGGGGTTTTCCAATTTCTGGAATCCCTCCCCTTCTTAGCCCCTACTGCAAATATTACCCTCCCATCCTCCATACCTGGATGAAGTTCCCTTCATATTCGAAGAAAAGCAGTGGCCACATGATATTGATGATGGAGGGAAAGAGCTTCTTCAGAGGAGCCTAAAGAGAAACAGGACCCACAGCGACATGTCTAGGAAGGCGAGGCTGTGACTACCACCCAGGGCCTTTTTCAAGACTGGACCCTCACCCGCAGGGACTGCCCCACGGTGCTGTGTGCCGGGGCCTGGATATTGCTGGTCTTCTCTTTCACCTGCTCCACCAGTGTCTGCACTTCTGTGAGGTTGTCTGCAGGATGGGTGGCCTTGAAAGATGGGCCGCACAGATGTCCCTCCTGATACCCTGGATCAATACACTCACACCGGTGCCTCCCTCCGAGCCGGTATCCCAAGACCCAGAAAAATGACAGCTTCTCCAAGTCACTCTACTACTTCCAGCTCCTCACACCACCCAACGCCCACCTTCCCTCTCACCATCCGGGGTAAAAATGAAGATGACAGTGTCAATTTCTGTGAGGGAGGGCAGGATGGAAGTCAGGAAGTCTTCCTGGGAGAAGGTGAACTGTGGACCCTGGAGCAGAAGAGGACCGGAGAGTCTGTCCCACGAGAACACTCTAGAGCACAGGCTTGCAGACTGAAGAGGACGTTAGGGGACATCTAATACAGCCCTTTGGACTACAGATGAAAAACAGTTTTACAAGGTAATCCCAGCACTCTCAGAGGCTGAGGCAGGATTGTAAATTTGAGCCCAGCCTGGACAACTTAGCAACTTAGTGAGATCCTGTCTCAAAACAAAAATTAAAAAAGGCCCTGGGTCCAATCTTCAGTACCACTAGATAGATAGATAGGTAGATAGATAGATAGACAGACAGACAGACAGACAGGGTTTTAAAATGAGAATAGTGGTACATGTCTGCTATCCTAGCTATGTGAGAAACCGAGGCAAGAGTATCACAAGTTCAAGCCCAGCCTATATAACTTAGTGAGATCCCGTCTCAAAATAAAAAAATAAGAAGGAATGGGGGATGTAGCATAGCAGTAGGGCACCCCAGGTTCCACCTCTAGTACTAAAAAAAAAAAAAAAAAAAAAAAGGTAGTGTTTTTCCCAAGATGATGTAGCAAGTCACTGAACTAGAACCAGGTTTCCTGGGATAAATCCAGAGCCTTCCACTTTTCCCTCGCTCCGTGTACAGCCCCAAAGCCTCTTAATCTCTAATCTATATTTGCTTCTTGAGACTGTTTATGCCATCATACTCATCTGCCCCTGCGCCCCCACCCTCTGCACGGCAGGGACCCTTACAGCTTCCCCAGCCCTATCCTCCAACCTGATTGATGAGCTCAGCCTTCTGATTAAACATGTCTCTGTGATCACCAATGAGAAAGCCACGGATGTCTCGGAAATCTGGGAAATTTTAAGACAGGGAAAGAGAAGCGATGGGCTTTATAGCAAAGGAACTTTGGAGGTTGCCAATGGGGCTGGGAGGGACGTAGAAAGTGGGATGTGAGGTAGGGATAACCTATATGAGAGGCCATAGCTAAGCTTGGGGTGAAAACAGAGGGATTGAGGACTGAGGTGGGAGCCAAAGGAAGAAGCATCTGACTGAAATGCCTATTAAGTAGGACATTAAGGAGTCTCCATGAGTTGGCAGCAGAGGGTTTGGATAGTAGACCAAATTGATTGGGGTCAGGTGGGATCAGGAAAAATGTGCAGACTGGGATCCTACCAGCGCCAAAGTTATGGATGCACTCCACTCCATCCATGACGGCAATGATGCCCAGGGTCTGCCAGCCAACCAAGTGCACTCGGCCTTTCTTCTCCAGGCTGAGGATGGGTCAGAGGTCAGGACATAAGTGATCACCACAAAAAGAAGCCAGAGATACACGAGGAAGAACATAGGGGTAAACAAAGGCGAAGCCAACCACAACCTTCCAACACGTTACCCAAAAGTAATGGGTCTCAAAGGTGGGGAGGGAAGCTCTAGACAACAGAGAGGCCAAAGTCAGGCAGTGACAGGGTGAGGTGGATGGGGATGGCAGGTCCAGATCCAGAAGCAGACTTTCCAGAGTTGACCTTGGAGTGGGTGAGGTTGCTCAGGATAAGCTGTGTCCTGCTACACCCTCCTCCCTGACCAGGATCTCCCAGACCCGTTACTTTTCCATGTTAACACGTCTCACAAGAGTCTCCTCTGCTCTGAGGCGCCCCCTCCAAATGCATGCCCAGGTACCTGGTGCTGACTTGCTTCATCAGGGTGGCAATCTCGGAGCTTTGACTGTAGGTCACCTTATGAGCCCGCTCAAAGGTCCGCAGGATTTCCAGGAGGCATCTAGGAGAGAAATCATCAGCTCCCTCAGAAAGTGGAGGCACCCCTATACTCTGCCTAGGAGGAAGCACAGTTCCCATAAAACTAAGTTTTCCGGAGAGCCAGACTGCACTGAGGAACACCCTGCACTGAGGGTGGGGGCAGATAAGTTTTGGGAGGCAGAAAACTGAAGAGCAGAAAGAGGAAGCCAGGCATCAAGACAGCCTTGTGGGGATGTGAGCTGAAAGTGGCCGAGGAGGTCAGGGAGCAGTCTGGAAGGCACGTTAGAGACCCCGGTCAGGGCAGAGGGTGTAGCAGGACACACCTGAGCCTGAGCCACCTGACCCATTCCAAGGTCAACTCTGGAAAGCCTGCTTCCGGATCTGGAGCTGCCACCCCCCACCCGCCTCACCCTGTCACTGCCTGACTCTGGCCCCTCTCTCGTCTAGAGCCTCCCTCCCTACCTTTGAGATGCTGCAATGCCCCGGTCTACCGTCTTGTGGGCTGCCAATAACAGGGTTTCCAGCAGGATCTTGGTGGCACTTCCACCTTTCATCCGGGAGGAGCCGCTGAGACCCTCAGGCTGAGGAAGCAAGGACAAGGGGTGTAGGGGTGAAGAGGATGGTCCTAGAGTCCACCAGTTAGTGACCTCTGGGCATCAACTCTGTTAGCAAGTCCTGGTTAGTGACCCCGGGGCACGCATTCTACTTAGGAACCCTGGTGCCCCCTCCCCCTGGTGTGCTGTGAGGAGGAGCACTGGGGTGGTCCTAACTGAGGGGAGAAGAGAGTAGGAAAAGGACACCTCTGGTGACCCCTTTGGTGCATTCAGGCCTCTCTGGGAGGAAGTCAGAGGGCTTGAGTCTCCTGTCAGCTGGATTAAGGGTTTTTCAGAGTGCTTTTTCTCTCTAAGACCCATTTACTCACTCTCCCCAGAACAATATTTTGTAGTAGCTTGTCCACCCAGATACTATATTTCAAGCACTTTGACAGACCCATGAAGCACCCAGTGCAATGGCACAGATTCACAATGTGGTGTACCAAAGATGACAGCAGAAAGAAAGAGGAAAGCACTGACCAAGAAAAGAAGACAGAGCCAGTTGCTACAGAGAAGAGAGATGAGCACATGTGGAGCAGGAAATGTTGCCTTCCTATCTCACACAAGGGAGGTCAAGGAGTGTATCACAAATGAGCCCGCCAAGCCAAGCCGGGCGTGGGGGTGCACACCTGTAATCCCTGCATTCAGGAGGCTGAGGCAGGAGGATCTTTGCAAATTCAGGGCCAGCCTAGGCTACAAAGTGAGCTCAAGGCCAGCCTGAACTGCATGAGAGGCTTGAGAGGCTCAAGGCCAGTGAGACCCTGTCTCAAAAAGACAAAAACAAACAAGCAAATGAGCCTGCCATTGGCAGAGGAGGAGAGCGGGGCTTCAGCTAAGGTCGATGTAAGGGCAGAGGACACGAGCAACACCAGCAACACGCACCCACCACCCAGAGACAAACAGGAGTGGGAGCCTTGAAGGCAAAGGCCTGCCCCATTGAGGAGAGGGTGTACAAAGGCAGGACAACAAAACTACATCCTTTTCCCCCCAATACTGGGGATTGAACACAAGGCTTTTACACTGAGCTACATCTCCAGCCCTTTTTAATTTTTTATTCTGAGACAATGTCTCTCTAAGTCAAGGTGGGCTTGAGCCTGTGATCCTCTTGCCTCAGCCTCCCACAGCCCATATTTAAAATTCAAATACTGCATGTAAAAGACACCAAATGAGCCATAACAATGGTTAGTTAAGGCTGTCTGTAAACTAATGGGGAAAAGGTCCTTTAAACAGAGACTGCCCTAGATCATTGAAGCATTTAATGACTACTGATTGGAGAGACAGAGTCGGAATGAAGATGAAATACCTTAAGGTGAAAAGTAAGTGAGAAAATAGGGTTTCATTTAAAACCTGTTAGTTGACACAAATTGCCTCAGGAGTTTACTTGATAAACAGAACTTAAATCAGAGGATCTAAGCAAGTGCCAAGCAATTCCAGATGCTTGGGCCAGGTTAGGGAGAGGAGCAAGCAATCCTACCCTGACTGCAGGATTAAGCACAAAAGCTTCCTGTTTCTCTTGCATTTTCTGCATCCTCTCTGCTACTTGCCAGAAGGTTGAACTCCAGTCTTCAATGGGGCCATTTCTAGGGTCCAGAGAGATACAAACAGGGAAGGGTTGTCTCTGTGGATCTGAAGGCAGGCCCTCAGCTGGGAGTCAGGTTCAAGGACCGCACTGGGACTGTGAGCAGGGTCAACAATGTCACAGAGAGATGTGCTTTGGAGCTCTGGGGCAATGTGTCCCTGAACCCCAAGAATAGGGTTAATAAAGGAAGCCCAGAGAAGTTTAAAGTTCCAGACTGAGACCAGAATCAGAGTTTGGAGACCAGAACCTACTTGTGTCCTGGTCCTAGCACGGGACCAACTGCCCTGGCCACACCCACCTCGCCCTCTGTGGAGCCCCAGGGGAGAGAAAAACAGTCCCTAGTGAGGGAACTGAGCTGCAAGGTAAGAGGCGGTGCATCTGTGATTGGGAAACTGTTTGAGTGAATTAATCAGGAACAAAGCAATATGTTAATAATTCAAGAGAACCACAGGCTCATTACTTCCTTAGCTACAAATCATCAAGTCTCAAAGAATGAAGAACTTTCCTATTGCTGGTAATAATTTGTGTATATACCTAGACATAAATAAATATATATATATATGTTCTGTATCACTTCTAAGGCAGATAAGTTTTCATGAATTTCATACCCATTGTGTAATGTCTCCTGTCATTGTTCTCAAACTATTTCTGTTTGTTTGTTTGTTTTTTATTTTTTTGAGACAGGGTCCCAATATATAGTCCAGGCTGGCTTTGAACTCCCTATTTAGCCCAGGTTGGCCTTGAACTTATGACAATCCTCCTTCCTTAGCTTCCCAAGTGCTGGGATTCCAGGTGTGTGCCACCACACTTGCCTTCAAACTATTCCTAAAACTTTCTAGAGACCTAGGTTAGAAGAGACTGAAACAGAGAGAGGAGACAGTGTCCATATTTCAAATAAAACTTCTCAGGCTTGGCTGGATGTCAAAATCATCTGGGAAGTTCTGTTGCTGTCATGGTTTTAATAACGACCCATTGTGGACAGCCCAGCCACCCTGGGACTTAGATTCAGTAGTTCTGGAAGGAAACCCCAAACTCTGTATCTTTAAAAGATTCCCTGATGATTCTGAAGATCAGCCAAGTTTGGGAGCCACTGATTTAAGGAACAACTGGAAGATCTCCACGCCTACATTGTTTGAAATTCTTCATTTCACTTAGTCACGGGGCCTGAAATTAGCATCCACTGCAGCAAATATATTTTTGGTGAAGGAGAGTCCCTCATGCAAAATGATCAGGGTTCGGAATGTCTCAGACTCATTTACACCTTCATGTGAATTATACTATAAGCCTAGAATCTGGAACTAAGGAGAGCACCTCAGAAAGAACCCAGCTCATCTGCTTCCTGAGACCAAGTCTAAGTAAATATACAAAGCAGCTCTAACATAATCCTAAAGCCTTTGCTGTAGTTCCTTTGGTGACAGTCATCGAGTGGCCCATCCAGTGGTTTATCCAGCAGAGTCCCCCAAAGCTGGCTGCACATCAGAATTTCCAAGGATGATTTTTAAAAATGGATATTTCAGATTCTTACCCCAAAGCAACAAACTCAGGCCTCTAACACAGGGGCTAAGAACCAATCTATCTTTCTTTTATTTTCTTTTTTCTTCCTTTTTTTCCCCCTCCAGTTAAATTCAGGGCCTTTGAACTGAGATACACCCCCAGCCCTTTTTACTTTTTATTGTAAGACAGAGTCTCACTAAGTAGCTAAATTACCCAAGCTGGGCACAAATTTATGATCTTCCTGCCTCAGCCTCCTAGAGTGCTGGGATCATAAGTGCGTGCCACCACACCTGGCTTTCTTCCTTCATCTTATTTTTTAACAGTTCCCCAGCAGCTCACACACATAACTACAGCTGAACACTATTGGTCTAATATACTGTTTTGGCTTGTGTCTAGATGTCTCCCCGAGCCTCATGCAGTCGTATGTGGTGCTGGATCCAGAGGTGGCTGGATCTAGAGTGTGTGACACTGGGACTGATCCATGGTGCAATGCTAGGATCAATGGCACTAGGATTAAGGGTGTGAGTGCTACCACCCTAAGTAGCCTGGATAAAACACAAGGGAGAGAAAGAGCTATGGTCATCCCTTGCTTGGTTGCTTTGCTACCTTCTGCCCACCATAAACTGTCTCTCCTTTGCAATTCCTGTTCGCCATGCTACCCTGCCTTGGAGCCAGCTGATTACGAACTGAAACCTCCACAAACTGTGAGCTAAAGAAACCTCCCCTCTTTTAACTCGGGGTGTCAGGTATTTTGTCTCAGTAACAAGGAAAATAACTAAGACATATGTTGACTTTCTCTGAGATCAGACATAGTGGGAATTTAGACAGAGAATAAAAGGGAGGAGGCTTGGTAGCACAGGGAAGGAATAGGGGTAGATTTCAATAGCCAAAAGGAAATGAAGAGGTACCAGAAATGATGAGGAGAGTGGGCATGAAAATAAGGGAGGTGGACAAAGAGGAGTAGGTGGTCACTTAGCACCACTGCTACTACCTTGAAAAGATGTTTGGGGCTTGCTCCAGATAAAAGCACAGATTTCTGTGGTGTACATGTTCCTGACCCTGATTTTTTTCATCTATCCCTTCTTTTCCACGCCTCTTCAGTCCCTTTTCTGAATGTATGTTAGCTTGCATTTTATGTAGCCTTCAATGCTTTCTGGAACAAGAAAAGAATAAATCAACCAGCCAAACAAAAATACCTCTTAAACTTAGGGGTCTTATCCATCTGTCCTCTTTTGTGATTGTACTGTCTGATGTGTCCCCAGCCCTGTGGGTGACCAGTCCCTGCAGAAGACTCACCTGGCCATGTTCACAGGATTGAAGCCAACTAGGACCGGCAAGAAGACAGCTGTGTTGTCCATGCAGTAGTCCATCTGGCCTACCACAAAGGGTTCCTGATGCAATGAGAGGGGAGGACATGACAAAGGAGCTACTGTGAGTGTTGCCCAATGCCCATGGGCATCAGAATCCCCCAGAATACTTATCAGAAATTCCCAGGCCCAGTAAAGACCCACTGGATCAGAAGTTAAAGCAGGAGCACATTTTTAACAAGTACCCCAAGGGAGCTACATTTTTATTAAGCTCCTTAAAGTAATCTCCTACACAATAAAGTTTAGAAATTACTGAACTAAATTGTTCAGTATGCTGCTCTCCTGTGTGTCTCCTACTTCTCAAGCTAGGATTTGGGTTTCTGCTCATTGGGTTGTTAGAATCTGAGACTTGCAGGGTTGACAAGAAACTGAGGGTCACCAAGCCTAATGCTGCTCAAAACCACCTGGGAATCTTGTTAAAATTCAGATTCAGATTCAGTGGACTTGGGGTGGGGTCTGGGATCCTGGATTTTCTAACAAATCCCACATGATGCTGATGCTGCTGGTCCAGGGACCACAGCTGAGTAGCAAAGGGCTAGTCTGGGGGACAGTTTGTTCTGTTAAGGGCCAGGGAACTTTAGGTTTATTTTTATTTTATTTTATTTTATTTATATATTTATTTATTTGTCTTTTTGACACAGGGTCTTGTTATGCAGTTCAGGCTGGACTTGAGCTCACTTTGTAGTCCAGGTTGGTCTCTAATTCTCAACAATCCTCCTGCTTCAGCCTCCCAAATGCTGGGTTTACAGGCATGCACCATCACGCTCAGCATTTTTTTTTTTATTTTAAAGAGAAAAGAATGAAAACAAAATACAAAAACAAAGACATAAAACAATATAAAAATGATACAGAATTTCAAAATAAGGTGATAGGAAATTAACAATGGTTGTTGTATTACATATTACTATCTTGAAAGGAACTTTAGGTTTTGTGGGCTGTCTGATCTCTGTCCAACTATCACTCCCAGAGTTGTGGCACAAAAGAGGCCATAGACCATGTATGTAAACACAAATGGCTCCATGTCAATAAAACTTTATTTACAAAAACAAGCAGCTGGCTAGATTGGCTGCCAGTGTAGTTTGCTGGCCCTGGATTAGTCTATCTTGGTTGTTGTTGGATTGCTACACAGTTATTATGAGAAAGGATCCCTTCTCCCTATTTTCACATTTGCACAACTGGATCCAAATGAGCCAAAATGAAAATTCCCTGTGCAAGTGTTCTATTTTCTAGCACACAGCTCATCAATCTACCTTCCGTGCTAGTGCTTTCCCGTCCCCTTCCTCTCTATAAAGTTGATCCACTCAGCCTATCTTCACGCTTACAGAGAGTCCCGCCGAGATGCCAGTGACGATCACCCTCTTCTTCCCAGCAGCCAGCTAGGAGAGGAGGATGGACAAACAGTACAGTAGGGAAGATGCCAGGATACAAACCTATCGAGGGAAGATATCGAGGGCCAGGACCAGGGCAGGGGACAAGGTTTGGTTAAGTGCTGGGGGCTTTTATGTCCCCATGAGAAGGAATAAACAGAGGTCTGTGGTTGAATTTTAGTGGAAAGCACAAACCTTCTTCAGTTCCTCTATCCCGTGCAGGGCACTGTCTTCTGTCCCCTCCCCCGAGGCCACCACAGACCTAAGAAGGCAGGTTCAATGTCAAGGACATTAACTGGGAAGCAGAAGCCTATGGTTTCTTAGGGAAGGCCACACAGAGGGAAGGGGATGGAGGAAAACTATCACTGAATGAGCCCCACTGCTACGTTGGGCACTATGATAGATCCTCCACAGACTGAAAAGCTCACATACCTACAAGGGCCAGTGGAGTGGGTCAAATGTAAGGGTACTGAGGCATTTTGGACAAAATATTTGTCTAAAGTCATTCTAATTCAGTTTCTGAAAAACACATATTCAGGCCAAACCAAACATTCACAGGTCAAGGTGACTTACCTGTCACCTCCTGCAATGAGGTAGGTATAAAGAGGTTTTTGTCCTAGACCTTTCATTAGCTGGTTAAAGGAGACCTGTGTCAAGGGGGAAAGGAGGTAAAGAGAATGAAAGTGAAGAAACAATTAACTTGGATTTTTCAACTCCTAGCAGAAAGAAGCTACAGAATGATTCTCTTAGGTTTAACCTAGTCCTACTTGGAATCTGTTACGAAGATGCTACTGGAGATGATTCATTAGGGATGCATGGGATGTAGGGACATTAGCAGTAGCCTGGTGGGGTCCCAGTGGGCTCAGAAGAAGTGGGACTCTGCAGTGGGAAGAGAAAGAGAATGAGGTATGGAGCCCAGGTCTAACGGGGGGCCCACCTAGAAACTTAACTATGATCCCAGAAGGGGATCAAGGAAGATGGGATCAGGGTACTCACCGACATGAGGAATGCCATCCGACCAGAGGTCCCCCCTCCACTCAGGACCACCAGCCCCCCATCTGGCTCCTGAAGAAGGGAAGTTGCCTAGGTCACCGTGGCCCAGCTCAGGCCAAGGGACGTATGTCCTTTTCTTTGTTAGTAGTGGGACAGAACTTAAAGGCCTCCTTTATCCTTCGTCTTATTGCAAAGCTGAATACAACATAGACCCTGTGATGCAGTGAAAAGAACACTGGACTAGAGACAGACACAGGAGTTTGACTCCCCTTGCTGTTTAACTGCTTATCCATCGCTTACTTATTCTGGAAGGAACTGACAGCAACTTTGTCATCTAAATAAAAATTTAAAAATAAAAGTAGCTCTACCCAACAATTATTAGTTGGGTGCATTTCAGCAAGCAACTGTAATTTTCCTCAATCTTTGATTTTTTTTTTTTTTTTTTTTTTTTTTTTGGTCTTTTTGAGACAGGGTCTCGCTATGCGGTTCAGGCTGGCCTTGAGCTCACTTTGTAGTGCAGGCTGGTCTCAAACTCGCAACAATCCTCCTGCCTCAGCCTCCCAAAGGCTAGGATTACAGGTGTGCGCCACCACACCCAGCCAGTCTTTGATTTCTTGTGTGGAAAAAAAAAATCAGGGACAATGACAGCAACTTTACAGGTTTGAATACTGTGGAAGTCAATTCTAAAGTATTGTCCAGCTAATATTATAATTATTACAGATTAAAAAGATGACCTGGCAAGTGCGAGGTCATGAGTTTGATTTCTGGTGCCAAAAAAAAAGAGATGACAGTAAGGATCTAAAAAGAAGGATGGGGAGAGTGGTGAACTTAGATCTACAAAAGTGAAAAATGGTGACCAAAGAAGAGAAAGAAGCAGGAAATAGGAATTTAGGCAGAGGGCAAGTGGGAGCTTAGTACCTTCAGCACTTCCTGCACTTTCCCAGCCACTTGCACCATGGTGGTCAGAACTGATTCGTTGTACAGTTGCTGTAGGGAACAGACAGGAATCAGAAACGACGACAAGGAGGGTGGTAAATTGGAAGGGGAGGAGAAAGGGCTCTCAGGATTTCCAAATCAGGGGAAATGGTCTGGGAGGGCAGAGGTTGAAATGGAGGTGGGGAAGGCATCTTTCTTTGCTGTTTCCAAGGGATGGGTCTGGGTTACCTGGTACGCAGGCATGGCTTGCCCCTCCTCCTGGAAGATCTCAGCATCGCACTGTCCTAGTAACTGAACAATTTTCTCAGCGTTTGCTTTGTCCAAATCCTGGGTCAGTGGATTTGACTTCTCTGTGATTGGCACAGCTGCCTCATACCCAGACAACTAGAGAAAAGGGGGGACAAAAAAAGGGACAAGAAGCCAAAGGCTCATTTGTGTATGCTGAACTGGGGGTGGGAGGAGCAGGCACAGCGTTTGGACTCTCTTGTACACACACGCATACACGCACACACACCACACCAGGCACTTAGCCTGCACTTGGTGCTCTGGGCTATTAGGGAAGGAAGACTGGAGGGAAGGCGGAAAGGAGGTGGATGGCATGAACAGAAACCCAGGGAGGAGGGAAGTGCAGGTAAAAAACAGTTCTAGGAATCCGTGCAGAAGACCAAAATCGAGAGGGATCTCACCTCCCACTTGCCAGGCTCCGGGGTCTCAATCACATGATGAAACCGTTTTTGTGCTTGGCATGGTCTCCTGCTGTGGTCACGCTGTCTTGTCTGCCTATTTAGCCACACAAACCCCTCTGGTCACAATGACTCTGCTTCCAGCTGGCAGGGCCTTATCTGAGCCACAGAGATGATTAACCTAAGAACACCGGCCTCTCTGAGCACCACCCCTGCACCTCTTCCTGAAGCCTCCTTTCCTGGTCACCTTGCCTGCAGCTATCTAGGGACTACCTGGTCCTCTTTGCCTGCACTTCAACTTGCCAATCTGCTTGTCCCCTGAGGAGAAAGACCAGAGGCTCATTGTTCTTGCCCTTAGGGTACAATGCCCTTGCTTCTGGAAAGCCTAGGGCCTGGGAGGGAAGGACAGCACCCAGGTCAGCAAAAATCCCTGGGCAAGCGTGCTCTGGGAGCAGGATGCCGCAGAAGGCCAGAGATCAGGGTCCTGGGGTCAGCAGAAGTCAGATGATCTGGGGCATGGCTTGATCACATGCTCAGCACACACTGTCCTTCCCTGCTCCACTGGCCCATTTTACCCTCTCTTCTCAGAAGGGAAGGCAACAGAAGCTTCAGTGCCCCAGGTGTGCAAGCACTAAACTGGCTATCACAGGAGAAAAAAACACCACAGAAATAGAAATGCTGCAGTGAGCATGAGAAGCAATGAATCTGCCCTAAATACAATGTTAGCCATTCTTTATTTATACTGAGATGTGCATTTTTCCTTTCTTTTCTTCTTTTTCCCTAATTTGGTTTTTTTGAGACAGGGTCTCAATGTTATGCAGGCTGGGCTTGAACTTGCTTATGTAGCCCAGGCCAGCCTCGAACTCACATCGATCCTTCTGCCTCAGCCTCCAGAGGGCTGGGATTACAGACGTGTGCCACCACACTCCGTGAGCTGTGCACTTTTCATCTACAGTATCTCACCAGATACTTCAATACTGTGAAGTCAATATAGACACCTCCATTTTACAGACAATGAAACAGACTCAGAAAAGTTATTGCTCAAGATCATACAGTTGGCTGAACGATGATACCTAAATTCTCCAGATTTTATACTCAGCCAAAGCAAAAAATATTTTAAGGCTTTATATGCTTATTGAATGAAGGAAGGAACTAACAGGTCGGTGTAAACCAGTAATAAACACACAGTATGGCAGGATTTATAAAGGTCTTTCAAAATTGTCTCATTTGATCCTCTCCACAGCACTGAGAGGTTTCATTCATACGCTCTGCTTTACAGGTGGGAGACCTGAGGTGCAGGTTAACCAGTTTCCCTAAAACCACACAGTTAGTGCGGGGGGCGGGGCGGGGGACGACGACGCCATGTATCTTTGCTCTCGAATTCTCCCTATAAGCCCAGCACCAACAGTTGCTGTATCTCCAGCGCTTAACAATGTCAGACAACACAGGGGCTGCTCACTAAATTTTGCTGAATAAATGCAACAATGAATGAGAAAACGAACGCAATTGAATCAGCTTATGAATGGAAAAAAAGACTTAAAAACTGACGCAGTCTACACGTATGAGATCGGTAAAACAATTATTGTCTCGACCACTCGTCTCCTCTCAGCCCCTTCCCACAGCGGAGATGGAATTCCACCTCCCAACTTGGCTAATTCCACCCCGGAAAGGAGGGGCTCTGCCGGGTGCCGAGACCCCGCATCTGCGCCCTCCGGCGCAGCCGCCCGGGAGAGGAGGGCCGGGGGCCGGGCGGCCGGGGAGGGTCGT